TCTGCTCCCTTCTGGCCTGTTACATACTCAGTTGGAACAGTTTCTTTATAGCTGTTCAGCAAGTGAAAAAATATCTGTTGTTCCTGCTGAAAATCTAGTGCTGTCCGGCGCACTCTGCACTGTTATCTCTAGCCCTGCTGTAAGCCCTGCCCAGTATACCTTAAAGAACTGTCCTAACATACTTCCTGTCCTTGGGTGACAATGTAGCTAGGTCACCCTAGGACAGGAAGTGTGTTAAAAAAAACAGAACACCCACTCTCCCCTCATCTCCACAACATAGGGAGGAGGGTTGTTATACAGGGTCACCAGCTAAAAATAATGGGGGAAAAGGCCTGAAAAAAAAAATGCAGCCACTGCATCTTTGCATTGGTGTTTGTTCATTTTTTATTTTATTTTTCTATTGGTTGAACTCGATGGACTTATTACATTTGTGTTCTTGGGTTTGGATACACATAACAACTGTGCAGATAGGTAGATGTAACAGCTGGCTCAGTTTTGTTTATTTCAGTATTAAAACCCCATGTTTTATATATAGGACTACCGTCAAAAAACATACTGGGGGAATTTATCAAAACTGGAGCAAATGGAGTCTGAAGCAGTTGCCCGTGGCAACCAATCAGCTTCTATCCTATCAGGATATCATCATTTTTGGACCGGCTGCTTCAACAAAAATCAATTTAAAAATTAACTTTTGTCAAACAGGATGTCAATCAACTTTTGTCAAACAAGATGTCCCAAGGGGGCAACACACTGGTCGAATACAGATGACTAGGCCCTAATTCAACCAGTGTCTGGATTGGCCACCACCCCCCTTTCTGTTTGACAAAAGTCAATTGGCCTTTTGAGTCAATTTGGCCAATAAAGATAGCCAAAGATCCCACACCTAAAAGAAGACCATGTGAAGACGTTGGTGTTGGCGAGGGAGTGATGGGTGGTGAGTTCAGTTCCACTTTTACATGCTTCTAAAAAGTATCAAAATGCCAGATAATACACACCATCTTGTCACCTTGTTCATTCAGGGCAACATTACAGTGTCTTTGCAACGGGGTGCTTCCAGGTATAGGGGAGCATGTGATATCCTCTGATGTCACTGTGTTGGAGTCAAACAGCCAATCACTTAGGCACTTAAAAAAAAAAGCGCCAAGCAACTGGTCCATTCAGCTCCAAATGGTCTCATTTGGTCACCCAGGGTAAGGGAAAGTCCCATCCTGAGGCCTGCCTAGAGAGGGCCTAAGTGCTTTGTCCCTAAGCGGTGACGCTAGCCCCTGACAAAGCCACAAAATGGCTGCCACTGCAAGTTACCGGCGTACCTTAATTGGAAGAGACAATAAAAAGCTTTATTTGTTTTGTTTCTTCATGCATGGCTGGTATATCCCCGTGCACTAATTCTACTGTCCTACATTAATCAAAGCAGCAGCCCCTGTTGTCTTAGCACCACAGATTGAGAATGTGCCCCTGGCGAAGAACGAGGGAAAAGTCAACAGGAATTAAGTTTCAGTGTAACTGTTTACTCAACTGTGGCCTGCAGTTATTGAAATTTTATCCATGGGTTTGTGTGACGGCTGCACTAATGACTTCAACATGACTGTGATTCTCTCACTTCATGTAGGAACCTGCAAGATGGAAATGATGGAATTAGCCCATTGGACGCTGCAACGTCGACAGGAGTTCACAGG